TGAGATCTGAGATCTCCGATAAAGCTGACAAAGGTAAAAATTTTTACCCAAGTCAGTTTCCCTGATTCTGTTTGCAGAATCCAGTTGAATAGGATGGTAAAATTCTGTCTTTTCTTTTCCAAATTTAGTTTAACAGGAGAAAACAGTTGTAAGAATTCACTCCTTGGATTATGATTCTGGTAATTTTGCTGCTGAGTAACATTATCTACTGATCCTTATCTTCCCAAGAAAAGTCATTGCTTTATTTTGTCTTTGTCCTTTGTGCCATGTGTCATAAGGAGAAAAATCTTGAGATTATTCTTCAGTGTTATTTTTGTCTTGAAAGTTTGGATTGTTACCAGTGAGATGAAATTTGCTCTCAGACCCCTTTACTTCACGTGAAGAGAAGATAGTTACTGCATAGTCACAAAACTTACTTCCCTTTTAAGGCTGGTTTTTGTAGCGCAGCAGACCTGTCCCGAGTTTATAGGACATGAGCATGCACAGAGGTGATTAAACAGAAGCTGAAAACTGAACTCCAAGCTGGCTGTCACCAAGAGACTGCTCACATCGAATCACACAGACCGAGAAGGGACTGTCCATACTACATTCAAAAGTAAAAGACCATCAACAAGGAAGATAGTTATCTGGGAAGACCTCTCCATATATGGACTGATTTGTAACTGACCAAACTGCGGAGTCTGTAACTTCCTCATGCCGAGATTTTTTTTTTTTCTTTCTTCCTCCACTCCCATAAAAGCAATCTTGGTCTCAGACTGAGCCTTCCCCCACCCCCACCCCCCATCTCTTTGCAGGTTGACCTCAAGCTAAAATTCTTTCTTTTCTCAAAAACCAATGTGATAGTATTGACTTGGCTGTGGGTTGGGAAGCCGACCCTATTTGCCTAATAGAAGGATAATCTCCTTGGCCTCTGCCAGATGTGAGGTGGGCTGGACATAAAGAAAAGTTTTTCACAGCTGATTCTGATGACCAGCCAGAAGGCTGGGAAACCCAAGGCAGGATGTGCATAAGCAACATTTTTTTTTTAAATAATAAATTTTATTTTTATATTCCCCATACAATTGCAACCCCCCCATTCTGACCCCAATCCCTCCCCTCCCGGCCCCCACCCCCCAAAAAGTGTCTCTGGTTCATAGTTTTTTGTTGATTTTGATTTTCACTTTCTTATAGTTATTCATTTTCCTGGTCCCTTATTTAAGTTTTCTAGATTCCTGCTATGAGTGAGACCATCCGGTATTTTTTTTTCTTTTTGGCTTATTTCGCTGAGCATGATCCCTTCCAGCGCCATCCATGTTGCTGCAAATTGCATGTGTTTATCTTTTTTGAATGCTGAGTCATATTCCATGGTGTATATGTACCACATCTTCTTGATCCAGTCATCTATTTTTGAGCATTTGGGCTGTTTCCAAAGCTTAGCTATTGTAAATAGTGCTGCTATAAACATAGGGGTGCAGGTGTTCTTTGGAATTGATGTTTCTGTGTCCTTTGGGTAAATAGCTAGGAGTGGAATTGCTGGATCATATGGAAGCTCTATGTTTAGTAGGTCCAGAAATCTCCATAGTGGTCGGACCAGTTTGCACTCCCACCAACAGTGCAGAAGAGTTCCTTTTTCTCCACACCCTCGCCAACATTTGTTGTTGCTAGTTTTTTTAATATGTGCCATTCTCACTGGTGTAAGATGGTATCTCATGGTAGTTTTGATTTGCATTTCCCTGATTACAAGTGATGTTGAACATTTTTTCATATGCCTGTTGGCCATTTGCATTTCCTCTTCAGAGAAGTTTCTTTTTAGCTCTTCTGCCCATTTTTTGACTGGATTATTTTCTTTGTTGTTGTTGAGTCTCATCAGCTCTTTGCAGATTTTTGTGATCAGTCCTTTATCATTAGTGTTGGGTGCAAAAATGTTCTCCCAGTTGGTGGGGTTTCTCTTTGTTTTGGTTATTGTCTCTTTTGCTGTGCAGAAGCTCTTTAATTTGATGTAGTCCCAGCTGTTTATCTTTGCCTTCACCATCACTGCTTTGGGTGACGTGTCTGTAAAGATGTCTTTGATGTGCAAATCACGTAGTGTTTCGCCTATATTTCCTTCTATATATTTTATGGTTTCATGTCATATGTCTAGTTCTTTAATCCATTTTGAGTTGATTTTTTGTGTATGGTGTGAGGTAGTGGTCAAGCTTCATTCTTTTGCATGTAGCGACCCAGTTTTCCCAGCACCATTTATTGAACAAACTTTCTTTGCTCCAATGCATAGTCTTTGCTCCTTTGTCAAAGATTAGTTGACCATAAATCTGTGGGTTTATTTCTGGATTTTCTATTCGATTCCATTGGTCTGTATGTCTGTTCTTGTTCCAATACCATTAGTTTTGATGATTATGGCTTTGTAGTAGAGTTTGAAGTCTGGGAGTATGATGCCTCTATTCCCTTCTTTTTTTTTCAGGAGAGCTTTGGCTATTTGGGGTTTTTTTGTGATTCCATATGAATTTCATCAATAATTGTTCTATTTCTTTGAAGAATGACATTGAAATTTTGATTGGAATAGCATTGAATCTGTAGATTGCTTTTGGTAGGATGGCCATTTTAATAATGTTTATTCTTCCAATCCATGAGCAGGGGATGTCTTTCCATTTCTTTGTGTCTTCTTCTATTTCTTTTAACAGTGTTTTATAGTTTTCTTTGTATAGGTCCTTTACCTCTTTTGTTAGATTTATTCCCAAATATTTGATTTTTTTTGTTTTGATAATAAAAGGGATGGTTTTTTTGATTTCTTCTTCTTCAGATTTATTGTTTGTGTATAGGAAGGCTACTGACTTTTGCGTGTTGATTTTGTATCCTGCCACTTTACTGAACTGATTGATGAGTTGAATTAGTTTTTCTGTGGAGATTTTGGGGTTCTCTATGTGTGCATAAGCAACATTGTATGACTGTCAGCTGTCAGACCTCAAGGAGAGGTCTCCATCCATAGGAGCTTATGTCATTTTTTCTTTTCACTAACTTGCTTGTGTCAAGAAATGTCCCATCCCAGTACAGCGCATCCAGTGTGACAGATTAGCGGGTCTTTGACTAAAGGTTCTTCACATTTGGAGACTGAAGTTTCCTTAACACTTGAGATTATAATAAATAATAAAGATCTTTGCTTTGTCAAGCTATCTTTAGGAGTAACTCTGGATCCTGGGGGGAGGGGGGCAAGTTATACATCTTTGACACTCTCTCTGGTCATGCCATGTGTCCATGTTTAAATCATAAAAAAGATTATTGGTGCAGAATCAGATAGGAATAAGTATACCTTTAGAAATTTGGACTTCATATACAAATGGATTTTAAAGTTATCTTTAAATTGAGATATAATTGTTGCATAACATATTAGTTTTAGGTATAAACATAATGATTTGATATAGGTATGTATAGCAAAATGATTATCACAGCAAGTTTAATTAACATCCATCACTATATATACTTACATTTTTTTCTTGTGCTGACAACTTGTAAGAATTACTGTTTTAGCAACTTCCAAATATATCCAATACAGTAACTGGTAACTATAGCTATAATGCAGTATATTCCATCCCATAATTTACCTATCTTAGAAGTGGAAGTTTTTTTTTTTTTTATACAAGCACTGGGTACAGTCAGAAGTATGGGAGGGTGAGAGAATTCACCAGAGCTAGAGCGGGGAGCAGAACAGGGAGAAGGACCGAAGTACACTGCTGAGGGGAGCAGCGGGCGCAGCAGGGGAGGTCTGCGCACCATGTGGGACCCTCACTGGTGGCCGGGGATTGAACCGACACTGCAGAGGCTGTGGGCAGCTTCGCAGCCCAGCGCTCAACTGCTGCGCCACCAGGGGAGGTCCTAGAAGTGGAAGTTTTTATCTCTTAACCCCTTTCATCCATTTTTCTCCCACTCTCCTCTACTGAAAATTAATCTGTTTTCTGTATCTATTCAGTATATTTGGGTTTTGCTATTTAGATTCTACTCATAAGTGAGACCTATCATATTTATCTTCCTCTCTCTGACTTATTTCACATAGCATAATACCCTCAAGTTCTATCTATATTATCAGAATCTCTTTTTTATGACTGAACAATATTTCATTATATATGTATGAATGTATGTGAATATATATATGAACATGGGGGTGTAGATATCTTTTCAAGATAGTGGTTTCATTTCATTCAAATAATTACCCAGAAGTGGAATTGCTGGAAGATGTAGTAGTTCTAATTTTTTGAGGAAACTTCATACTGTTTTCCATAGTAGCTGTACCAATTTACATTCCCATCAATTGTACACAAGTGTTTCCTTTTCTCCACATCCTTGTACACACATGTTATTTCTTGCCTTTTGATAATAGTTATTCTAATATGTATGTGGTGATGCCTTATTATGGCTTTAATTTGCATCTCCCTGTTGATTAGTGGTCAAGTTGCTCTTCAGGTACCTATTGGCCATCTTAGGTCTTCTTTCGAAAAATATTTATTCAGGGCCTCCCTGGTGGCACAGGCGGTTGAGCGCAGTGCTGAGAAGCTGTCCACAGCCTCTGCAGTGCCTGTTTGATCCCCGCTGGCTGTGGAGATACCCACATGGTGAGCAGACCTTCTGCCTCGCCCGCTGCTCCCCTCAGCAGTGTATTTCGGTCAGTCTGCCTGTTCTGTTCCCCGCTCTGTCTCTGGTGAATCCTCTCACCCTCCCAAACATCTGGCCTGTACCCCGGTTATTGTATAAATAAATAAATCTTAAAAAAAAAAAAAAAAAAAAAAAGAAAACTCTCTGTTCAGTTTCCCTGCGTACTTTTTATTTTTATTGTTTTTCTTTGTTAAGTTGTATGAGTTCTTTATATATTTTAGATATTAACTCTTGTCAAATATATGATTTGTAAATATTTTCTCCCATTCAATTGGTTGTCTTTTTATTTTGTTGATGGTTTCCTCTGCTGTGCAGCAGATTTTTAGTTTGCTGTAGTTCTGCTTTTTTATTTTTTAATTAATTATTTTATTTAACTTTTAAAAAATATGGACTACTTCATGAATTTGTGTGTCATCTTGCATAGGGGTTGTGCTAATCTTCTCTATATCATTATAGTTTTTACAGTACATGTGCTGCTGAGGCAAACACAGTATTTTAATTTTTTATATTTATTGTTGCTTTTGTTTTTGGTGTCAAATTCAAAAAATCATTGCCAAGACTGATGTGAAGGAACATACTCTTTATGTTGTCTTCCAGGAGTTTTATGTTTTCAGGTCTTACATTCAAATTTTTAATCCATTTAGAGTTCTTTTTTTTTTTTTTTAAGATTCATTTATTTATGCATACAAGAACTGGGGTACAGGCCAGAGGTGTGCGGGTGGGGGTGGTGAGAAGATTCACCAGAGACAGAGTGGGAAGCAAACAGGCAGATTGACTGAAATACACTGCTGAGCGGAGCAGCAGGCGAGGCAGGGATGGTCTGCTGCGCCATGTGGGTCACCTCACTGGCCGGCTGGGGAACCAACTCACCCTGCCGTGCTGCGGTGACTGCATACAGCTTCATAGTGCTGCGACTTAAACCCTTGCACCACCAGGGAGGCCGCTGGAATTCATTTTTGTGTGTGGTGTCAGATTCTTTTGCATGTGGCTGTCCAGGTTTCTTAGAATTATTTATTGAGACTAGTCTTTCCTCATCTCATATTCTTGACTCCTTTGTTGTAAATTATACACATGGGTTTGTTTTGGAGTCTCCTTCCTGTTCTGTTATGCCGATATCCTACAGCTATAATTGCAATAGCTTTGTAATATTGTTAGAAATTAGGAAGTGCGATAACTCAGCTTTGTTCTTTCTCACTATTGCTTTGTCTCTTTGGGATCTTTTGTGGTTCCATATAAGTCTCAGGTTGTTTGGTCCATTTCTGTGAAAAATGTCATTGGAATTTTGATAGAGATCATTTTGTATCTACAGATTTTTGGGGGGTAGCACAGACATTCTAGCAATATTAGCTCTTTCAATGCACAAATATGGAGTATCTTTGATTTCTTTCATCAGTGTCTTACAGTTTTTAGCATATAGTTATTTTGCATCCTTGGTTAAGTGTATTCCTAGGTTTATGATTCTTATAGATATAATTGTATTTGAGATTATTTTCTAATTTTTGCTTTCGGGCAGTTTTTTATTAGTTTATAGAAATGCAGCTGATTTTTATATATTGATTTTGTATCTGCTATCTTACTGAATGTGTTAATTAATTCTAACAGTTATTTTTTAATTGTATCACTTTTTAATTAATCTAATGTTAGTTACCAACACTGTATATGATTTAGAGGTATAGTTTCACAGCTTTTCAGATGTGTATTACCACCCCATACTCACCACCAAAGTACCCATAATCTCCTATCACTGGTCTTCCTATTCCCTTTGCTCCCTGCTTCCAACCTCCCCCTCTCTGGTGCCTCAATTATATAGTCAGACTTCTAGCATTTATTTGTGTCTTTGTTTAGTTTCTTTATATTCCACATATGAGTAAATATGGTAGAATATTTTGGTGGAATATTTAGGATTTTTTCCTATATAATATAATGTCACTTGCAAAAATATAGTTATTCTTCTTTTGTTCTGTTTGGATATTTGTTCCCCTTTTTCATGCCTAATTGCTCTGGCTAGGAGTTCTAGTACTACATTGAATAAAAATGTGAGAGTAGGCGTCTGTATCTTGTTCCTGATCTTAGAGGAAAAGATTTCAATTTTTCATCATTGTGTGGGATGTTAGCTATGACTTGTCATATGTGACCTTTAGCATTTTTTTTAAGAGAGTGCACACCCTAAAACAATTACCTAATTGTTACCAATGGGAAGATTTGATTGAAAGAAAAAAAAGGAGAATAACTGGAGAGTGTCTTGACTGGCCTGTAAAAACAAGCAAACGAAAAACCCAGTATCAGTAGATGGAGATCCGACTTAAAACAAAAGTGAAGAATTGCAAAACACACTTTTTGTGAGACTTTTGTGCACAACAAGAAGCAGGAAATAGTTCTAACAAAGACCCTCTAAGTACATCCAGCTCCGCTGTCTTACTTCTCCTTACTCTCTTGTCAGCCTCCAGGCCTTCCCACGCACAGGCCTCTGTGGATGCATTTTGGGCCTCTACCACAAAGAACTCTTTGCACTGTCCTTCACTCAAGATAAAATTTTAAAAATCCTACATAGTAATGGCCCTAGATTTAAACATGTATGCCTCTGAACTCTTTAGAGAAAATGTCAGTCCTTTCTCTGTCTCTTGCAAATGCAAATCTTACCATCTTCTTAAAATGTAATGATCCAAGAAGATAACTTTTGGCTGAAGCACCCACCTACAGCTAACAGAAATTGAAAAAAATAAGCAAATAAAATAGCACTTTAGGGGAAACAAATTGCTACTTGATATTTTCGGGGGTGGCCTGGGGAGTTTTACCCAAAATTTAGTAGTACCTTTCCTCTGCCCAGAAACCCAATCCCCTTTTCTTTTGTTTAAGCCTCAGTAGTATATAAAACCTAAGTCACCTGGCTGCCTCCTTGAGTTTTTCCTCCCTGGGTACCCACACTGTCCAGTCCTCACGCAAAGGTATGAATCAAGTTTTGTTTTGACAACATTAAACTTTTAGGAGACCTGAGTTGAAATCTTGATTTCAACAAGTCAATTTCTCTGTTTCTCAATTTTTTTCTGCCTTCTTAGTTGAAAAAAAATTGATCTTGGACTGTTTTTCAAACTTTTGATTGTTTTTTATCTTTAAAATTTAAGTTTTATTAACTTCATAGTGAAACATATTATTTGCATAAACACTTATGTCTAGAACTGAAGCAAAAGTTTACACAACAATATCAACCCTGACTATATTCAGCATATGCTGATGTTTTCCATTTTAGGAGATTATCTCCTGCTTCATAACTTGGTTCATAAATGTAGGTTATGATCCATTAAATTGATTTCATGACCTGCACAGGGGTCACAACCTACAGCTAAACAAACATTTTGAAAAACATTGAAGTCACTTGTAGCTTTCATATTCTACTAATAAACTCTCTACAAGAACCACAACTCAATAGTAAAATCAATTGCTTGAATTTCTATCTCCCCCTCCCTATGTTGAAGGTTGCAATGGATGGGGATGAAGAATTACAGGTAGCAAAAGGGAAAGAGAATGCTGTCCTCATAAAATGGCACTTCCAATAAAGTTTGGAATTAAAAGTAGAAGGAACTTGTTACAGAGCAAGGTGAGGGGCACCCTGGGCCCCCAAACCTGTCTACTCTAAATGGGTTCTGCCATCTACCGCAATAAGATAAACCATACTCTAGAACATAAGACCTTCAATACAAAGGAACTTTAATACAATTAGTGTGCAATAAAGAGAAGAGAAGACGAAGAATACAATTAAAATAGTTTCTAATAAAGCATCCAAAGTTACCCTTCCCCTCATGGGTAAATGCCCAGCCAAACAGGGATGGCCCAAAACAAGACCACTGAGACCCAAAAACCTGCCACGAGTCTAAGGCACCTTCAAGTGGGGACCCACAGGGAAGGGGCAGAAGGGGCCAGGCGAGTCTGGAAGGAAAGGAGTAAAATCAAAATACAAGTCAAGATAAAGGCTGCCATTGTCAGCCTCCCCACGGGTCTCTCACCCACGACTCTGTCTCTTTCAAGTATCTCCTTCCATGTCCCCCAAGTCCCTGGGACAAATCCAAGGCCGAGAAACAAGTGGGGCATCTTCACATGACTCTCTACTCCATTTGTGTGCCTCCTCCAGGTCTCCTTGATCTCCTTCTTCCTTTCCCCTTTCTTCTCTAGCTTCTCCTTCCTGCTCAGCTCCACCCTTCCTTGAGTAGAGCAGGGAATATAGAACATTCCCCTTCTCTGGGGATTACCCTGTTACAAACTCAGAAAACCACAGGGAAGACTTACCAGGTTTCAGGAAATTGTTAGTATTTCAACTGCATTTCCTTTGTTATTGGAAAACAGAGATAAATATAGCTAATAGTGGAAATTAAATGTGAGAAAGGAAAGCAACTCTAGAGCTAGATTCCTACTTTGATTATTAAGAGTAGGATTTCACTTAAACAATAAATCTCTGGTATGAGGACCAAGTGACATGGGATTAGGATAATTCATTTTAAGTATTGTAAATAAAACAGACAAGGCCATTTAAATCTAACCAGGGAAAATGATCAGAAGAACTAAGTAGATGAGCGTTAGCCCCAAGGGGGTAGGGGAGGGAGATGAAATGTCCCATCTTAGAAAATGAAGGATAAAAGCCCAAAATAAGAAGGGCATAAAACAGATCAGAATTCTAGCACAGCCGGGCAGATGCTTTTGAAATGGAAGTCATTTTAGATCTTGTGTCTTAACAGGAAACATCAGAGAACAGCTAGGAAGTTAAAAAAAAAAAAAAATGCTTCCATCAAATTGCTGATAAAAAACAGGTAAGGGGACAAAAAGAACTGGGGACATGTTTTAAATCTGCTTTTCTCTATGACATACAGGATATCTCAATTACATAATGATTTCATTTCCTGAAGAACTCAGGAACCGAATAAATAAATGCACTCTGGGTCATCAGAAAGAATATAGACCTTTGATTCCGCAGTATTTCCCAGAGAATCAAATTCTGGTTCTTAGTAATCTGTTTGAAGAAAGTCTCTGTGAGCCCATGAAGAAATAGAACCAGTAAAAGAACAGGAATTCTCGAGAACAAAAATTCAAGACACTGATGTGATTACATTTTGATCGTTGTTGGAATTTTGTCTTAAAAATCACAGACGGTTGTCTGTGAGAGTAAAACTGTGATCTTTGGAATTTTTTCTTTCACCTATTTATATTATCAAAAGGTTTCCACCATGAACATGAATTACTATTTAGTAAAAAAAAATTTCCTTTCCACACTCCTCCTCCTCTACCCTCACTCCCAAAGAACTTCTGAACAGGATAACATCTAAAAATCTGGCTTATTTCCTCTGTTATGTTAGGAATATGAAAAATTACATCACACCAACTCAAATCACCACCAAGACCATGTCTAGGAAATCAGACTATTCAGAAGAGCATCAAATCTCCATTCTTAGAACTAGCACTCAGAAGGGAAGACCTATTTCCAGTAGTGGCCGGTGACTTTA